TCTCGGTCCTTTTATTGATTTATTGATTAGTTTACGTATTCCCGCAAAAATGAAAGCTTATCCTGTTCTAACCAAGTATGTACCATAGTCATGTTAACGGGGTCGGTGGAGCATTTTAGAGACCACGAGGATGCGGTGAATGAAGCTGAAATTTTCCAAGCTAAGTCGTCCATAGCATGAAAGGTGAGAGATGTCGCAGTGCAGTATTAAGGTTGGGACCAAGAACAGCGTCAACCTCGCCGCTGAACAAACCTGCGCTGGACCGGGAAAGCCAGCTGATAAACAAGATATATTTCGATGTCTTCCTCTTTCAGTCCATGTGGCGACTCGCTCAATGCAAGTCATTCACGAAAAAAGGCGGTATTCATGCTTGCCGCAACTTTGGGTGACCTACTGTACTATACGGGCCAGAACTTCACTCGCTAGGTATCCTGCCAAATCTAAGTGCACATATGGCTGCGCAGAAAGCGAAATATCTTTTGGTCTTCTCAGTTATATTCGAGACTGCGCTCCAGCAACCTCTGCTGCTCTAAGCTCCCACGGAGGAATTTGTTATGTAAGCAGCTAAACTACGAAAGTTCTGATGGTGCACTAGCGCGACAATTCCATGAGTAAATGGAAGTCAGCATGGACATGTCGTTTTGGAAAGAATTGGATTTCGTTTTTGTTATTATTCAACAAAATTTTGAAGTATTTGTTTCTTTCACATTGTTTCCAATTAGCGTTACGGAAAAGGACGGTATATGGAATTGAGGACCCTGCACGGAACAGCCTCGTCTCAATGAATCTTACTTCCATCAAAACGCGTACCTTTTCGTATCTAGAGAAATCAGTGAGGGATGAATTACTTTACTTCAACCGTATGAATTATGTGGCAATCACAGACTAAGGGTGTTGCCTATAGAGCTTGTGCGTATAGAACGTTGATAGCTTTAGTGAGAGATACGTGCTCGTACTAGCTGCACAAAATAATTCATTCGCCTCGATTGAGTAGCTTATAGGTCTCTACTTCCAACTCACAGCCCACCTCTGGAGTTAAAACAAGACCTCGTTGAGGTGCTGGTGGCTCATGTGAAAACATTTCCAATTCCGCTGCAGTTAGAAATAGGGATGGAAGGGTTGGAGCTCCATCAGGGCCTGAGCCGACCCCAATTAAATCATTGTTCTTGTAAACCTAGGGTATTTCGTTCAAAGAAGGTAATTCGAATGCGGTATTAGAAAACTTACCGCAGGCGGTAACTCAATACTAACGAAATTGCAAGCTCGCATCCGTTTTGATTTCGGATAAAGGTAGGATATCATTACGTACACGAATAGTATCAACACGGAAACGAATATGCTCAAAAGGATAGCATTATTTTTACATGTCTGGAATCGTCGTTAATTTTAGCAGCAATCGTTCAAAAGCGAATCTAACTTGCTCTCCCATCTTCATGTGTTAAAGTCATACGAATGCGATTCAAAAATGATGCTGACCAGAGAAGGAAAAGAAGGTTTGATGTTTATTCATACCGGGTACCTACATATGAAACAACTGCTTCAAATATTATAGCTCCATTCTATCACATAGAAAAAGTGCTGATGTGGATATCTTGATGATGCTATTGAATCTTCAAGAGTTCATTATCAATTCATTAAATCTTAGGTTTACCTTCCGATGCCAACATGAAATTTGACCCTTGTGTACCATTATGTCCCGGATTCATCAATCTCATGCATGAAGGCATGGTTTATGGTACCATGGAATAGGTTCTGAATTTTCGTCTGGTTCCCACCGAATGAAAGTTTACACTCCTATTTCGTTTCCAGTGCCCAAGGTCGTGCAAGTGGGTGTAGCAGCAGAGCGGTTCCAAAAAAAAGCCGCTTTGGAACTCGATTCCGTGCATCCTGTTATCTTGTGATGAGGATAATCTCTACCGCTCCTCTTCACACATAGTTATTGATGAATTTGTAGTGATAAACAGACCTCTCTCTTCGAAATGTGGCAAAAACTGGCATCAAAAGGATTAGATTCCAGTTTAGAATATGATACGTCGGTATTCAGCATGCATATTTTCCAGACTTCTGCTCATCTGAATTGATTCTGTTGATAGTGCTGAAAAGGTGCTTTTTCCAGTTTGTGATTTATGTTAATAGCCGACTGGTATAGGCCATAGCCTTGCGTTCAACATAACCATAACAAGATTAGAAGGGGTTGACTATGTGTGCCTTGACTTGACAGTTTGCTTTGGTTAAGAGGAAATGCGTATGCGTTATCCAATGCGCTGATCCCGAAAATCCACTTCAGAGAG